AAGGTGGATTCCGGTTTCTGTGCAGATCCATTGAGATGGTTGCTGCTAGGTTTCACTGTCACAGGATTGTTAGCTGTGACTCGGCGAAGATAAGGAGAGCTCATATTATTCTCCATGAATCTATCAACATTTGTCTCTGGAGAGGTTTCTTCGGTCCTTTTTCCTTTGAGCTGGCTGTTCCCACGAGTTCTATTTAGATCTTTGAACGGAGTTGACATTTCACCGAATTTCAGAGCCTTGGTTATGCTTCTAACTTCACTCTTTTGTCCTCTATTTGCGTTTGTAAATAACCTTCCATGGGAAAGATCAAGGGAAGCATTTCCTTTTAAATGACCGGGTTGAAAAGGACTGCCATTAGTAGCCACTGGCTCTCTAGCGCTGGCATTGTTAGCCCTTTGAAGAAAAACGGAATTAGTTGTAGCAAAGGGAACTGAAGAAGTAATCATGTCAGATGCATCAGGAAGATCAGAGTTTTTTGCTCCTTCAGAAGCACTTTCAGAGGCATCTTCCATCTCAGAAAATTTTCCAGATCTAACTTGCTGCTGCTGGATTACTGGAAGTATATCTATGGCTCTATCCTGTTTCAAGGCAACAAAGACACAAGAGGGTTTAAATGTCCAGTTAAAATAGCCAATATCAAGTAATATTGCACATAAAGTACATTCAAGTTTCAGAATACTAGACAATTCTGCAAGTATCAAGTCATCAACAGGCTACTAAGCACTACTTGTACATGGAAAGTTGGCTGGAATACTTACAACTAACTCTTTTCTCCAATGACTCTGTGATCGCATTCTGAACATAACTTCTTCCCCAGTTTGATTGTCGGATACGAAAGCCTCTTCAATTTTCTGGAGCCTAAGATCGACTTGGTATGCCTGGATGTAACGGTAGCGCTGCAGCAATGTGAACAACCAGTAATTTCCAGTCAAAGACAGACCAAAGTACCCAACCATATACAAAAAATAATAATTTTCCAGAGTTAAGCATGGTTTATAATGATGCAGTCTGCCTGGTTGTTCAAATAATTTCATGCTTGTTCACGACTCTCAACATCCCAGACTACATCAAGCTCGAATTATAAAAGATTGTTGAAGCCCAGACATCACTTACGAGAATGTATACCAGTAAATAGTAGTATGAGCTAATTCTACACAGAGCCACCATCTAGATCCCTTATTAAAATTTTCAAATGAGATATGTAGCTTAAAGCTCAGGAGGTTTAAGCTGTTGTCTAAGTATGTATATGCCTGTTGCTAAAACTACTCTCGTGCTGACAAAGACAAACCATTCTCAGCCCATTTTGTTCAAGTGAAGTTATTTTAAGTATGAAAATATAATTACTTACCTGAAGATAAAAGACAACCAAAAGACTACCCACAACTGATGAGGGGTCATCAGTTGCAGAATCTAATAAGCATCTGTGCAGATATTTCTCCTCGTCTGGGTTCCACGGTAACTCAATGATTCGATCAACCAAGTTTCTCCGAATAGAAAGACAGCAGAATTCATTGACAAGTATCTCCATCCATTCCGTCCAACTCCAGCTGTCTAGATCATCAGACACATGTTTCACAACTCCATTTTTCAAATTATTTTCCTTTACTTTCAAGCAAAGTGTCCTTTGGTATGTGAATGCTTCACTCAAAAGACCACATTCCACTCTCACACGAACAGCTGTGACAGCTTCACCAATTGAAACCAATTCTGATACACCATCACGACCAGACCAACGCAAGACCATAAGAGCTGTTTCAGGGTTTTCCCTTTCTAACAGGACTTGCGCAACTTTGGGGTAGGTTTCTGGACCACATATTTCAGGAAGAATCCTACAAGCTTCCTGAAATATAATTTGGAAAGTTTGTAAGCTACATCAATTAATAAATGTATGGCACAATAAAATACACATTTCTATAAGTTTTCCTTGGGAATGGCAAAAGATACCTGGAGTGCCTCCTCAGAATGATCATCGAGAAGATAAAATACAAAAGACTCCAGCAATGAATGCCTGGTTATGCCAAAGGTAGCAGCAAAATCATCTATAATGTGCTTCCAATATTTTTCAGGGGTAGTCCAATGCCGATCAAACAGGTAGTAAAGAAACTATCTCCTGGTTAAGGAAACCAGCGAAAAAGAAAAACATGGGAATATTTGAGTATCCATTAAAAGTAAAGTGCAGTGTAATGTGAAAATAGGCAAAAGGATACAATTGCTTGCTTCGCAACAACCAAATCTGAACCGCCATGTAAAAAGAGCATGTCCGCAGCAGTTCTAAGATTCTCAAATGGATAAGATCCTGAAGTTCCCTCTATTTTGGACCTAAGAAATGATCTCTTATCCTTCTGTAAACATCCAACTTCTAGGTCGGCCCCTATTTCCTGACTGTACTCTGGCTCTCTCTCAAGATTTTCTAAAGCATCCTCAATAAAGAGGGAAGCACTCTGTACATTGCAATCTGAAGACTGGTCTACAGCATCAGGCCATGCACGCTTAATTGCATTTGATTTTCTTTCTCCTACAAGGGCATTCCACGATGTGAAATTAGAATATCGAGACCTCACATCCTCCAGAAATCCGTGTCTGATGCACCAGACCATTATGTCCAGATGCTGAAATAAATAAAAAAAACAATAGGGTAAGCACACTGTAAGCTCGGTGATCTTGCACCAATAGCTAAAGAGCTGATCCATTTAAAAGACTCTATGGTCAGGAGCCATAAGGTTATACTCATATACTATTTAGTATGTCACATAAAGATAGGTTTAATATACCCATAAACATTCACTAATATGCCAATGACATTAAAAATATAAATATAAAGTCACAGAAGTAGGGATAAGTAATCAGATCCAACTATCCAAGCTGATGATGGAAGACCATTATCGTGTCTTTCATACATCTAAATGCAAAGCTTTTACTGAAATTTTTTTATCGCAAGCCATATACAAACCAATAATTCATCCTTATGATTTTGGAAAGCATGGAAGATGACCTTCCATGGTATGCCGATTTCTAGTGACAGAGACGAACTAAACATAATGCACATAGGAAACATATTTAAGCATACTTTTGCAAAGCTGTTTGGATATCAATGAAATAAAATCTTGGCTGACCTGCTTTGATTTACCAATGTTCTCCCTAAGCTTCTGCACATCTTGAAGCTGAGATGAAACAGAACCCTTAAAAGCTGATTCCATAACTTCGAGCACACTACATATGCCAGCCACCTGTTTGGAACACCTTAGGAGTTTATCTAACCACGCTTGCATCTCTTTTGTTTCAATACTATCTGAGAGCCAATATTAAAGATAGACAGACCTTAAGGTACACACATACTGTCTTAAGAAACATAAAAATATTAACAGCTAAAAGGATACAGATTTCTTGAAGCTCAGCTAAGATGCTTCGGAATGTACGCTTGACCCAATCCTTGACAACAACTTCATCCAGCAAGAAAGCAATGACCGGATCACTAGATACAGCTGTCTCATCCATACAGACATTAGTAATATCTATTCATTTTCTGTCAAGGAGATGTCAACTATGCATCAAACATAAAATACCTCTTAGAGAATGACAAAAACACTATGCACATTATGTCCAACAGAGACGGGCAGGAAACAAGAACTACCTAAAAATACATGAACCTATCAGTACAAAATCCCCCATATAAACACAGTTTCTAATAGCGCATGCATTTTCATAGGGAGATTCATGGTCACAGCTGTAATTGAGACAACACATGCATACAAATCTATAAGAAATTCATCAAGTATCAAACAGGAAGCTAAAGACTATATGCATATATCTGACAGCGAGCATAAAACGCAACAGAAGGATACAATGGCAAACCACCGAGATCAAATTGTTGTTCATGGCAACATCAAACAGAGAATAAAGGCGATGAACATCAGCAGCCAATTGATGTTCATCCTCATCTGAATCCTGCGACGCCTCTTCATGTGTTCGGGAAATCAAACCAGCTTCAACACACTTATAATAGAGACGAAGCCGAAGTTTATCTCCATATTTTGGTAGCGTACTTCTACAGATTGGACAAACATCACACCTCTGACAACACTCTGAGCACAAGGAGGCATGCCCACATGGATTCAACACATAGTTAACAAATCTTCCACAGCTAGCCAAGTCTCTTGTTGCACGACATCGCTCAACTTTTGCCTCATTACACAATTCTCTAAGGTTAATAGATGCCAAATGTTTCAACGCCTCCTGCAATAAACAGTGAATGAACTTAAACTAAAGAAAACACCAATTCAGAAACCAACAAATGCTTGTAGACAGATATCTCCAAGAGTTATAAGCGATAACACAATAAATTCGAAATTGACTCTAAGCTCTGCAAAACTCACTTAAGCTGAAGATGAAAGAGCACCTAGATATCATAAGACCTGAGCTAAAACGATTACAAAAGAAGAAGAAGAAGACAATCAAAAAAGTCTCAAGCGGAAGAACCTGAACAGGTTTGCTACTGTAATTTGGCTGCGTAGGAAGAGATATCGATCTCGCGGCGGAGGCAAAACCATTGATTTCTCGCGTATCCATCTTCTCCGGTGAAGAAACAAACCCAAAAATGGAGGTTAAAGAGAAATAGCGTGGTTGGTGTTGGCGAGAGTGATAAAACCAGTCTAGGGCTCCATTAAGCTTTCTCGGGAGGGAAGACAGAGGGACAAACACTGTTGAGTGAATTTCTCGCGACGCTCCTCAAACGGGTCGGGTCGGGTCGGATTGTTTAATTCGGGTCAAATTTTAAATATGGGCCTTTTATGAAGTCTTGTGATTGTATGGCCCAGTCGGCAAATCACGTGTAAGAAAGTGAACGGCGCGTGTTTTTACCGCTTGCTAAGAAAGCGCGTGGATCGTTCTCTATTTCTCGTTTCTCTTCCTTTCCCAATTGCTTCCACGACGACGGAGGAGAGAAGAAAACCCAGAAACCTTAAAAATTTAGAGAAAGGGACGATCTTTTTTCCGATCTTATCGATTTCTTAATGAGATTAGAAGAATCTCTCTTCTAATATTTGCTTTGGTTTCCTTTTCTCTTTGTTCGATGGATGAGTCGTTCGCTAATCTACAAACGAGCCATTTGCTTGGTTCAGTTCCTGTAAGTCTAGAATACATCCATTGCTTCTACGATTTCACCATCAATAAGCTCTTTCATTGAGTTTTTTAAGAATCATTGTTTGTTTGCGTGAAGAAAATTTAACATTTTTGGTGCATGTGTTTGTGTTCTGTCTCTAGTGTTACAAAATCCAGTTTTTAGAATCGTTAACGGGTTCATTAGGAAGTAGAATTTTGAAACTTTCAGATTTTTTTTTTGTCCCGTCCATGATGTTGCTTAAAGTCCTCACACTCATAGAACAATCGACAATTTCCTTATTCGCATTTCTGGGTTTCTATATTTGTTAAGTCTTAAAGTTTTTCACCTTTTTAGGAGAGGATTCGTAAGTGCTTTCAACAACATTAGATTTGAGTTTAAACGCTTGCATGATAGCTTCATTTTGGATTAAAACCGCTAAGATAAATGTTTCGAGTGAATGTATTGACTATTACCATGTTCTTATGTCTAATACAAGCATCTGTCTTTCTTAGGCTGTGATCAGCGACGACAAGAGAAGCACAAATGTACCAATAGCAAGCGTAAATGAAGGTGTGTTCTTTTGGTAGTTTCTGCTTGAACTATCTTTTGCAAATGACTTTTTTTCTGGTAGTGAAAGACTTGGAGTGTTGTTTGTGTTCTGCATTATAGCAGGCCCTTCTGCTAACATGCAAATATTTCCACCAAATCTAGGAAACAATACAAAGGGTTATCAAACTCTTGAGAGTCCAACAGGTATATATACTCCTTTTAGATTCTCTTTTTAGGAGATTTTTTAATCTGTAGGCACCATGAATCAGTTTAACGGTAAGAACTTGTTGTATATTCAAAATTAGATATTTCGAACGTCGAGCTAACAGTAAAATGGTTGAAAGAATGCTTGTGTGAGTGAACCTCGTTTTTCTTATGCATGTGAAGATCATATATACCTTTCTCACCTTGTTCTTTCCTATATGATGATTTATTTTATCTATTCCAGTACAAGGACCAGAACAACAGCCATCAAACAACTGGAAGGGCTTTTTTAACGTCTACTCATATACCCAATACTTCGACGTCGATACAGATGTTGTTTTGAACAGATTGATGAGCTCGTTATATCCTACTAGTGGAGATTTTTTCAACAAGATTGATGCAAACCCTGATTTGTAAGTCTTTCAATGCTTTTTCTCTTTCACTCTTCTTGGTGATTGCACTTGCTCTGCGAGAGTTCTTTTGAATTTCAGTCCACTGTTCAGTCAGACTGTTAATTTGTTACCATTTTAAGTGTTATCTTCTGCACCTTTCTGGAAGCACATTCCTGTTGTGACAGGTCAGAGGAATGAATTTAATATGTCAGTGTTTGGGGAATGCTTTCCAGTTGCCAGTGTTAGCTAAATAGTTCTACTGGAGTAGAGATTGCCAATAGAGCTATCTTATTTGATGATTATAACCGTAGTTTCATCAAATATTAAGTAATTTGAGTTATTAATAAAGTCGTAGGTTTCCTGCTTTACCTTTTTTCTTTTCGCTTGTTTAAGGGTTTTTGTTACTATAGTTTTGCTGCTTGAGTATTTCTCCAAAGCTGATTTACTGTAGACTTAATTAAGCATGCATCGAGCTCCCATTTTTTATATGCTCTCTGCTAACTATCGCTTGTTAAAACATTTCCTCACGTTAGGTTCAGGCTTCTAGCTATTTTCATAGTCTGTAACATAGTTTCCATTAGACTATCGTAAGGTTGATGTTGTGTCATCTTCTTGCTCAGGAAAGATAAGATCTGACAATAGGATTTGTCCGATCAGGCTTCAAGGCAATTAAAGACAGGCCTGGTTGAGGAAAGCCTAAAATTTTACCCACTTTGTGTTGTTGATGCTGTCATTGGTTTAGTGGATTATTGCTTTAGAAGCTAATAGGATGCATTTAATGCTTTGTTACGTCAGGCGATAGATTAAAATATCCTCGTTTTCTCTTGGACAAATGAATAAAAAGCATCAAAACATGCCATCAAAACATTTTATCCTCTAAAGATTGGCTAAAAGCTGGGCCTTTCACAAAATTTTCTAGATTAATGACTCGTGTGTGCATCTCTTCGCTCTGTTAGGTATGGACTTGTCTGGATCTGCACTACGCTTGTGTTCGTGCTTGCTTCTCTCGGAAATTGTGCCACGTATCTCGTGAAGAAACGAACCGACGGTAATGCTCCTTGGATCTTTGATGTGAACTATATGAATTTGGCAGCATCTATAATCTATGGATATGCAATAATTGTGCCTCTGGGATTTTATTTCTCACTCCGTTATATGGGGTCCAAAGCTGATCTTCTAAGATTCTGGTGCCTCTGGGGATACTCTCTATTCATCTTCGTTCCAACCTCTGTAAGTATCTTCAGTAACTTCGGTCTCTCTCACTGTTAAAATTAATCAATTGAGGATCAGTAACACTAAAGACAAATGCATAGACTTGATACACAATGATTTGGTAACTTAACATTCAATGACCATTTTCAATACAGAAAATCAATCTAAAATGGTATTGCAACTTTATACTTCATGCTGTTTAAGCATTTTTAACACTCAGGATGTGTTTTTGCAGCTTCCGTTGCTTATTCCAGTAGAGTTTCTGAGATGGGTGATTATACTCTTAGCTGGTAGTGCATCATCGTGCTTTGTTGCCCTGAATCTACGGTCCTACCTCGAGACAAACAATGATATCACGGTTGTAATGGCTGCAGCATTTGGTCTGCAAATGGTTCTTTCAATCTTCATCAAGGTCTGGTTCTTTCCTTAATCTCCACGACACAAACAACACCCGACAAAACATATATGTAAAAACCTTTAGATCTTGATGTGATGTGGTAGAACAAAGAATGTGATTTCCAGAGAATGAAACCCACAAAGTAAAAGAAGGAACATATACACTGAATCATTTGGATTCGTGTTTACTAGCGTAATCTCATCGTTGCTTGTAGCGATTGTGTTTTTTGTTTGTTTTGTTTGTTACCACTTTTTTGCTTGTGGAGTAAAAATATGAAAAAGGAAGAAAATTCTCAAAGTTGATTGCAATTTACTCTTTTGTACTCTGAAGAGTGAAGATTGAAGTAAAGACGAATGCATTTGTCGCTATGGTTTTGTTTAATCGTTTGGGACATTTGTAGTCTTTTGAATGGTTGATTTGATCTGGCACATATCAGAGAGTGAATTATAAAAACCTTTTTTTAAGTACAGAGCATGTGAAGTATGAAAGAGTAAAGCCAAAAGGTCACAATAACCTGTGAAGTGCCTTTATTCCACTTTAGATAAGAAAAAAATGGAAATGCATAAAATATCTGCAAGATTTAATGTAAAAAGTAAAAACTCAAACCAATTTCTCCATGTTTTATAACCATAAACAGACTCGATCACATGTTAATCTAAGTCGCTGATATTGTTCTTAATGAAACGTGTGTAGGAAGAAATAATGGGCCAAACAGTAATTACGGGCCTACTTCATTGGCCCATTGGATAGATAAATCATATTGTTTCTAACTATCAAGTATTAACCCAAAAATAGCTAAGTTTACCAAACTCATTTGCTCAAAAAAAAAAAAAAAAAAAAAAACTCAAGAAGCACCCATTCAATATGCTCTAACGAAAGTCTTATGAAAAAAAAAAAAAAAAAAATTGATGTAAGTTGAAACTATGAATTTCATAGTTACTTACTTGCTGATAGAACTTACGATACTATATACTGAATTTCAAGTTTTTCAGTTGCATTGAAATTTAGAATATGCTTTGAATATATTAATATAACCCAAAAAGATTCGAAACTATATAATATATATGGTTCAAGCCCTTTGTTTTTGTTTTGACGAAAGATCTAAACGTGTATCTTTCTACCTTAACTGGATTTAAATGTCGTATGTAATTGCATGTCAAGTCTATGGTATATTCGTATATATCCACATCTTTTATATAATAAGTAATTTGTAAATATCCTGACAAAAAACAAAAAACAAATGGTAATGATATATGATATATCTCAGTAATCAGTATATTAAGAAATTTAACATTAGTACCTAACACTTAACTTAGGTGATATGTTATCCACGTTTTTAAAAGTAAAACAGCAGTGACTCTTCAAGAAATGAACCCGTATAGTTGTTGGATTATGACTCTACTTTCTACTTATTCTTATTTAATCAACCGTCCATTTCCCTTATATTGATTCAATAACACTAATAAAACTTCTTAATCCTCTATATACTTCTTATAGTTTTGTTTTTCTCTTGAGTTACTTGTTGGTTTTGGCATCTCAAACTAAATTACATCAATCATTAATTTAAGTTCTCCAGCTCACCCCTCCCTTATGTAAAAAGGAACAATATCAATTCTATGAACAATCCGATCTTCTCCAATGCCAATCACTGTCTCTATCAGTCTTACAAACAAATGATTTATTTTTACTAATTATATATTCGAGTATACACATGATAGTGATTCCTTCGGCTTTTCTTCCTCTATCTGCGTCTTATCACCACATATCTACTTTAAATACGAGGGTAATTAATGAAGAAAAACAAGTAGTGATTTCTGTGGTTAAACCCAATAAATAAAATGTCGGCCAAACTCAGTTACTTTAAATAGGCCGTAAATACTTGAAATTTTCTGCAGTTTTTGTTTATCTTATGATTTTTTTTTGGGGAAAATCACATTTTTAACCCTCAAAGTGTAACTGGGTAGCACTTTAAACCTCGAAAGAATTCTACTAACACTATAAACCACCAAAATTGTTTTACTAACACTATAAAGTATAAACCTCCAAACTCTTTTTTCTGTTTGTAAAACCATAAAAGATGATGGAACAATCAATTTATGTTTTTTAATATATATGTATTTAATTTAATTTAATTTATATTTTAACTAATTTATTATTTATTACGATTTTGACGATAAAAAAATAGTAAAAACAAAAAAATCATCATCTTCGACTATTCACCGTCCGACCACAATTTTTCAGATTTTTATTCATTTTATTATATGTGTTCACCATCATTTTATTCAATTGGTATTATAAGATTCCAATTTATCCAATGGAGAGAGTGAAAACGTTTATGGATCAGTTTAAAAGATTGTTTCAACAGTTTATCAAGAAATTTCATGGTCGGACAGTGAGTAAACGAAGAAAATAAAGTTTATATTTTTTGTCAAGAAAATAATTTTTTTTTTTGTTTTTTTAGATTTTTATTAATTGTAATAAATAATTAAATTAATTAAAATTTAAATTAAATTAAATAAATATATATTAAACAAACATAAATTGATTACTCTATCATCTTTTATGGCTTTACAAACAGAAAAGTTAGTTTGGAGGTTTAAAGTGTTACTAAAACAATTTTGGTGGTTTATAGTGTTAGTAGAATTGTTTCGAGGTTTAAAGTGCTACCCAGTTACACTTTGAAGGTTAAAAATGTGATTTTCCCTTTTTTTTGTAACAACTAACAACAAACTGAAATTCATATTATAAATGTAACAAAAATAATTTGGATTCTATAATATTTTTGTGCTCGATGTTTTTTAGTCAAATTTTTTGTTAAACAGTTTTGTTTCGTGGATGATAATATTCTTAAGACACGTTGTCTTTTTCTTTATCCAAATTAAAGATGTTTATAAAATATCCAAATTTGTTAACAAACAAATAGTGTGACCGTAGAAAAATACTCAAAAGAAAGAGTACTAGATACCTTTTTTAGTTTTTTTTCTTGCATGATCTCTCACTTTCAGACACAAACTTTTTTGTTCTCGCTCGACTTTAGTTTGCTTAACATACCGACGTCAAAAATACTTATTACAACCCTTTAGAAATTAGAACCCCGATAAAATTTTTTTAGTTTTTGTAAATAACTATTCATTCCTATTTTTTTGACTTTTACCAAATAAATTTGAGATTACTTATTTTTGGGAAATAGTCCTTTGAACGTGATTGCACTAAACTTTTTTAATTTGGACGCTCGTGACTCGTGACGGCTTTGCATTGGATGCAAAAAATCTAATGGATCAATGAAGCTGCACCAGTTACAACTTTCCAAGTGTGTGCATGTTTATAATAATACATTATACTCCATCTTATCTTATTCTTGATCTTTTCTTTTTATAAATATCTTATCATATTGTTTTCTTCTTCATTTTGTTGGTCGAGTGAAAAATCTTATCTGTTTATCTATAACAGCACTGCAAAAACAGAACGTGTTCGTATTTTGGCCGGTCGATGCCCACAAACACATTTTTTTTTAACTCTACACAGCCTTTAGAAAAATTCACTCTATAATATTTCGGTGCGTTTTTTATTGGGACTGACTGTATTGGTCGATATAATTTATTAAACAAAAACAAAACGTTTTGAGTATTAAATAATACGATAGTTGTTTTTTTTTTTGTTAGGAATCTCGTGTCCACAAATTGATTTTCACTGGCTTGTGTCTTGTGAGTGTAGACGGTTACTTTATTATCTTTTAGTTTCATGGAATATATGTTTTATTTGGTATATCCATATATAAATGCGACTACTTGTGCAGAAAAAACCGTTGGCTTGAAGCGTTATCTTATCATACGCTAAAATCTGGGAGTGATGTAACAGAACTTGGACGAGTATATGAATAATTGACAAGTGTTTGGACCCATTTTCGAAGACTTTTTTTTTTTGTCAAACTTGTAAGCCTTTCTTTTCATGAACAATAATTTGTTTGGCTCCTGTTTCGCTATGAGAGATGATGTAAGACAAAACTGACCAGGAATTGCTTGGTATTTAGAGAATAATTATATGAAACATGTCATTTACACATAATCTTTCAACCATGGAAATTTTGGACACATGTCACCCAATTTTTCTTGGGTTTAATTTTTTTTTTTTGTTGGTAAATGTTGAGTTTTTAAGAGTTAGTATCATGTATTCATGTATCACATATAATCGTTATATCGTTTTGACTAATCCTAACATTAGCACATTTTTCAACCATAAATTTCATGTAATTAATTAAACTCATTCTCAACAAAATAAGGTATCCTATCGTATTCTGTCACAAACTTACCTTCGCTAAATGTAAGGTTTCGTGCAGTAGCAGGATCGTTTCTTACTCCATTGAGTATCGAAGTTTGGAACCTGTCTATCTAAGCACCATATGTCCTAGCTAATTTGTTACATGTGCCCAACTACATACGTGTCCTAGTTTTGCAAGTTTTTTCTTTGTCTCGTGACTTAAATCCATATAGAGGTCAAATTGATGTATCGGATTGTACCCACAAAAAGATTGTAGCCATTTATTCTTGTCAAGACTTGATAGATATATCATGTATGTCATGGCATCGTGATAACTTAATTCCTCTTCTAAATTATCCTTTTAGAGGTTTTCTAATTTTACGTGAATATTCATTACTAAAACTTGGAATTCACTCATGACCGACTTAGAAGAGATGTTCACATGTGCATTTAAACATGACTTTCTGATATATAAACTTAACAAAATTTATGTACACATAATTTTTTTTTGGATATTATAAAGTGGGGACTTTATTTATATAAATTAACATCAAAACATACGCCTTATAAATTAACATCAAACCTACGCCTTATATAAAAAAAAAAATTGGACCTTCAAGCAGTTTGAGATGGTATAGAATTTAAGTTCCCATTTTGTTTTATTTTCTATTTTTTACAATACAACTGTAGTCTATATTTGAAACTTTGAACATAATCCATAAAAAATTTGATGTGCCATGCGTTCTCTATATATAAACGTCATGCTCGACTATGACGCTATATATGTATTTTTTTTTTGCTAAAGTGCAAATATCATATAAATGAAATGTTTGGTTTTACATTGAACTCAGCATATATAGAATTGGT